CTGTTTCACAAAGATTTCAATTGAGCTACTGAACACTAACCGGCTCAGTAAGCAGTTCTACTTGGTGGGGTTGCTGGGCCGGTTAGTCTCCCTTGCTTCATTGACATTTCCTTTGCTTTTCGCTCAACTCGAGAACCATTTTTGGTCTAGTCTTTTGCTTCCTTTTTCCTACAAATAACAACAAACTAAACAAGTAAAGGATGGACAAAATTTCACTCATTAAGCAACAAAAATAATGCATCAATTTTTATACATTTCTAACATGACTTACTTGATTTTGAAGCAAAACCAAGTGGAAAATCCTTAACATAACCACCAAATATACTATAAATTACACACTTATCAACTAGTGTGGTGATGCCATATGCTCAACATTTGTGTAACTATAATAAAGAAACAAAGTATAAATTAAAGTAAGTTAACACTTAGGAGCATATAGAGCACATAACATATACGCATGACATTTAGATGTAAAATCCTAAAAAAAAATAAATAATAAAACACATAAGCACATAAACCACATATGACACACACAACCTATTTATTACATTTAGGACCTAACTACAATGTAAAAGAGAAAAACATAGGTCTATCTAAACTATCTATTAAATTTGAGGGAAATATAAGCCTATTTACAACTTTTCTAATAAAAGAAAATATAATATAACCTATCTATTACATTTTGGATATTCAAGTACCTTCCAAATAAAAATAAAACTTAAATTAAGTAAACAAATATGAAAATAAATAAAAGCTCAAAGTAAAAGAAATAGCAAAAGCCGCACATAAAGAATATAAATACATAGGAGTACATAAGAGCATGTATATTGAGAATTCAAGAGGTTATAGGAATACCTTGCTTTTGAAATAATGACTAAGATAAGGGAATGGAGAATTATCTATGCTCAAGATTAATAAAAGGGTCAAAGCACTAATTTTATTAACAGTTAATCATTAAAGATAAAATGGCACAATTCATTTAATGAAAACTTACTAAAATTGCAAAACAAGTATTGAGTTAACACTCAAAGCATCAATAAAGGTTTAAAGTGCCAGGGACGATATCAATGATAAAAGGCAATAAAGATTTTTAGGGACTAAGATGAGAAAATTTTCGGGCCAAAATATAATTTTTCTAAATGTAGGAGTCAACGTGTGAATTCTGCAAAATTAGTTGTACAACATCCTTTTATTCATTAACTAATAAAATTTGCCTAATTTAATCCTTAAAGTGATTGCCAAGCAAACAAACCAAGGGCTATCTATACTAATATTCACGTTTGTGAAATTTGGACTTAAACTTAATAACTCTAGCTTAAAGCCTAATTACTTGAATAAATCTAAACTAATTCAACAAAACAATCATAAGCATGATAAAAAAGGTCTAGAAATCAAAAAGGAAGAATTTATCATTTTCACCATTTTCAGGCCTTAACATAATTGCTTAAAGATTAGGGGTCAAATTATAAATATTTCTTAGAGACTTAGATGAAAAAAAATCAGCAAGCATTTAGTGCCATAATAGCATAGATAAATTTTCAGAAAATTGGAAACTGCTTAAAAATGCGCCCAAATAAAAAGTCTTCTAAGACTTCATATTAAAGGAGCATGATGAAAATAAAAAATAAGCTTGGCCCAAGTCTTCCTAACCCAACTTGTAGCTTAAACAAATCTGAACATTTGGACTAAGGCTCCGTTTGATAACACTGAATCTGAATTCTGAATTCTAAATTCTGAATTCTGAATACTGAAATAATTAATTTGCTGAATTTTAAGCACTGAAAAGAGATATATGAATATCTGAATCTTAATACTGAATCTATTTATACTGTTTGATAAATATTCATAACTTAATGTTTAATAATCTAAATTGTACAATTTTGTCCTTCTATCTTTTAATCCAAAAAGAAAATAGAACCTATGATTTAATTAACTTAAAATTGTTAGGTATGAAAATGACAATGATTGTGAAGAGCAATGCATACAATGACAATGTTTCTTTGTGTGAGAAAAGGGTATGGTTTCATCGTTTTGAGAATGGGAAAGCGAGCTTTTAATACTCTAAAAGCACGTTCAATTACATTTCTCAATATTACATGTGCTTGGTTAAAGCGTTCTCATTTTGATCTTGGACGAGAAGCATTTCGAAAATTAGACAACCAATATCTTATATTTCGATATGGTGTCATAAAGCTACGTGTGTGTGGATAAGCTGCATCACATAAATAATATTTATTTGCACAAAAAAATATATATCAAAATATAAATGTTTGTGGATGAAAATTATTGCAAAAAAATACTATTGTTAAAAAAAATTTTTGAATAGAGAATATCAGGTTGTTTTATTTAATTAGATAAAGATTTTGAATAGGGAATATTAGGTTGTTTAATTAGATAAGGATTTTGAATGTAATTAACAAACATAGATATATTTGGTAGATAAGATAGAGTAGTTGAAGTAAATCTCTTGATTCTTATCAAATTAAGCATTCAGCTACGATTCTTGTGCTGAAAAAAATACATATAAATTCAGCACCACTTAATAAGTTCAGCAGGTGAATTTTTATTTATCAAACACCCACAACATCTGAATGTCTGAATGGATTCAGTTTCAGCACTTTTTTATGTTATCGAACAGGCACTAAGTCTTCTGGTCCAAACCAAAATGTCTAAGCAGCTCTAACAGAATTCATGTAAGCCCTGGTGAAATAAATCAGCAAGCTCAACCCATAATTAAAATAACCCAAATTTATCCCCAACAAATTACTGTCTACAAGCTACTAAAATCTAAGTTTCAATCAATGAGTCAACTCCTGAACAAAAGTATGTAAAGACCATAAGCAAACCCAAGTTACAAATATCCATTTAGTCCATGTCATGACCCAAAGAACAAGCTTAATACAAATCGGGGTCAACCCATTTCATCACACCCAGAGATCAAGTTAAGAGATAACTGGATCTACCATCCCAAGTAATTGGTATCCAGAGATTTTTCAGCTACTATGGCTAGGATTTCGTCATAATCATATTCCAGCAACTTTTAACATACTTTTTTTTTTTTTTTTACATAAAAATGATCTACACAACATTAGAAACATGACCAAAATATCAAAATCCACCTAGCATCGCTATAGAAGCACAAATGAAACCAAAACTTCAAGATTGCATGACTCATCTTTAAACCCATCTTTCTTATTTCAAACCCAACAAAATGTAAAAAAAAAAAAATTTCAAACATTTTCCCTAATCAAAAAGAGGGAAAAACATACAAGATTCAAAGCCAAAACATCACAGTGAAGGAATCACCAGTTTTAGACAAAAATAGAAGAAAAATGCCAAAAACTAACGCAACATGACATAAAAGTTGGAATGAGTTGATTCAAGAAAGTTACCTATGGCTCTTTTGAGTGTTTAGGGTCATCCTAGCTTGCAAAAGCCGGTTGAGATGAGAAGGCATGAGGATCTTTTCCTCAGGAATGAATCTTTTTGAACTTTCAAGATCTGGAATGTTGTTGATTTTGATCGCGATTTAGAGGCCCCTACAGTGGCTTTGGTCAAAAACTTTAAAAATAGAAAATGCTCTTGATGCCTCAAGAAGGTGAGGAAAAAAAAATCACTGAAAAAGAATTAAAGGATTGAGAGAAAACTAAGATTGAATAGGGCTAGTTCATTGGCCTTATCATTTCATTTCTTTTTTGGAAATAAATTTCCTTCTCCTTTTTCTTATTTCTTCACTTTTTCTCCCTCTTTTTCCCTTGTGTCACTTTTCCTAATGAGATCTCTCTTGAAAAAACCCTAGCATTCCTTAAGCTCATGCATTTCTGACCTTTAGTTCAAGTAAAGGAACCTTAAAATCAAAGGCCATCGTGAAAGGTTTGAAAATGTGATGATGTGTTCATCTTTAATCATTTGATGAAATGAGTATTGAATAAGGACAAAGGTATTGAGTTGTCCTGTACTATGAATGTAACTTGGAAGAAAAGATAAAAAAAATTTTGAACCAAAATAATAATTACCAATCCAGTACAACTATTATACCGGTGAAGAAGAAGAACATCGTGCGCCTGGTGAGCATGCATGCTTAAGAGCAACTTCTTTTCTTTCTCTTGAATTTTGCTTGGGCTTTTGTTTCTTCTCGTTTGGTGCTTTATCTTGGGTTTTGTTTTCTTTTGTTTTGAATTTTTGGGTTGGGCTTTTTGGTTTATTGGAATTGGGTTTTGCTTTTCATAAATTTTCTCTTCTATTTTGTTCTTTTCTTTTCTTGTATTATTCTTGCTTTTCTTTATTCAAAACCTACAAAAATAAGACAAACCATGTTAGAACGAAATGCAAGAAAATATAATTTCACTAAAAATTAAAATAAAAGTGAAATTATATTTAAATGAGCAAAAATTTAGTGTCTATATCTTTTTTGAGAGTGTAATTAACAATGGATAATTTTAAATTCATCCTTTGTCCAGTATAAGTAACAATAGGACAAAATACATATAACCTATTACTTCATCCAAGGACGTCAATTTGTTAAATTATTAGCAATAATAAGGAGCCATATCTATGACAATCAATGTTTTAAAATCCGGACTCCTAAATGAACCAATGAGCTTTCAGCTTATGGTTCAATCAATTCAATCCCAATCCAATTTTTTTAATTATTTTAATATTAAATTAGTTGGATAAATATAATATATAAAAAAAGAAAAGAAATATTTAGTGAAAAACCTATTCAAAGGCCGAATTTTTACCTGATTTGACCGGTTTTCGAACGGTTCATTTGGTTCCTTGATTTAAATATAGAATCATACTGAAATTATGACCAATTCATGGTTTGACTGGTTGAACTGGCTAGTCCAATCCATTTTTTGAGAGACAGATGACAATTCAGAATAATCTCACACCCAATTTTTCATAACATAAAGATTGAAGAAAAGAAGGAAAAGTTTGTGAAACCAAAAAGCACATCCCACATATATGAGGATACAAAATTGTACACAAAAGTAACTTCAAGCCCACTTGGCCAAGAGAGACATGCAACCAGCACCAAAAAGTAGGGAAATATTTGCCCCTTGTAGGAGCCTTGCATTGCTTTGCATCTTTGGATTCATAAAATCAGCCGAGAGAAGGTCCACTAATGCCATGTAAACCAGGATCCCAGATGATGCTGCATCAAAAATTCCTTGCACAATGAGAGCATTTGGGCTGTTTTCATTATAAACATTGGATATTCCAATCCCAATTGCGATGCCGAATGGTGTTGTAAGCGAGAAGAAAAGAGCCATAATTGTAGTTGCTTGTGCTTTGAATTTTGCCTATGGATGAACAAGATTACATGAGAACAAGTTATTATTTTCCACAAGTCCAAAAATACTTGGTCAACCTAAATTCTATGTTTTTTTAGAATCAAGAAAACATACAAACACAATCAACATAATCACAAAAAAGATGAAAGAAAATGATAAATGCAATCACGAGAATCCTATTTTAATAAACTTTAGGACTCTCCACGGTAGGCCTCAATCCTCGTGAAGTTTTACATTGCATTCGCAGGCATAATAGGCTTTCATGATATGCTAGCAAAGAGCATGATGAGTCCAGCATAAAATATATTCTTGCATACTAGATTATAAACACTTTCAAAACAACGAAAACTAGATCACAAACAATACAAACCGCGCCTTTTTTTTATTTTTATTGTTTGTCCTGAATAATGAATAGAACCAAACAGTAAACTAATTTTGAATAATGCATAGTAATCAAGCAATTAAAATAAGACAAAGTAACGACAATTGCACCAGCATTTGGTCGTGCTCATGATTCCCCTCATTGAATTTTCTTTTTGGTTGTTGATTTAGTCAATTTTGTAAATGGGTGAAAATGAAAAAAAAACCGAAGCTGTTCGTGATGCTGAATAACTTTCTTTTCCAATTTAATAAATTAATGATGAAAAATTTTTGTTAAGGACTAGTTCGGTGACAAAAAGAAAAAGTCAAAGAAGACAATGGACAGAGAGGAAGTGATCAAAAGGTGCGTTTGATAAAACTAAATTTGAAATCTGAGTCAATTAAGTTAGTGAATTATTAAGTACTAAATTTGATACATTTTAGTGTATATCACATTAACTGATAAGTAAATAGTTTATCACTTAATTTTTGAAGTAAATTTTACTTAGAAAATTCAGTGCCACTTAATGAATTCAGATGTTCTAGTTTTGATTATCAAACACGTCTGAATATATTTAGATCTAAATTCATTAAGTTTAAATACTGAATTGAATTATCAAACATGGCCAAAATAATTGCCACCTAATTTAGTTATCTTGCATATTTCCCCATGTGGGACTTTTTAAATCAGTCCATATTAAATAAATGTTTTCAAACTTCAGTTTTATAGCCTCCAAAATCTCAAATAATCAAGATTGGGCTATGATGCTTGAAAAAAAATAAGAAAATAAGAAAACAAAGAAATAAAGAGGTTTGATTATTACCTGTGCAATGCATCCGCCAAGTCCAATACCTTCGAAAAATTGATGAAAGGTCAAAGCTGCCAAAAGAGGCCTTATTATTTTTGGATTATCAGATGCACCTAAAGCAATTCCAATAATTACGGAGTGAACTATGATTCCCAGTTCCAAAACCTGCAGGAAAATCAATCCAAAAAAAAAATTCGAATAATTGTGAGAACAATATTAGTATCCAATTAAGCATATGGAAATGTAAAGGGGTTGAGGAGCAGTTTAGGCCAATGTTTTAAAAACCGGACCGTTAATTGAACCGGTGACGTGAAAGGGTCGAAGTTCAACCGGTCGGACCGGTTCAACCTCGGTTCAATGAATTTAAAAAAAATAATTTATATAAATATTTATGCATAAAATAAGACATGTAATGGACTAATTTAATACATTATATGATGAAAAGTTTACTATTTTTGAATAACTTGATTTTTTAAAAATAAAAATTTTAAATTATAAGTTAAAACAAATAAATTTCATTTCAATTTCAATTATATCTACCAAAAAAATCTTAGATCTAACCCAAAAATATCATAATATTTTAAAATTATACAATTCATGTCTATGAGAATTTAGATTTTGTGAACTAAAATTTTAATTTACGTTTTGGGATTTAGAGATTGCAATTTAAAAAAGGAATTTTGGAGTTCGAAAGAAGTCAAGAGAATCGAAAATAGAAATGCAAACTTGATAAGAAATAAAAAATGAGATAAAAGTGAGTGGTTGTGGCATTCAATAATTTGGGTTAAAGAAAAATAATTCTTTTTTAACCTTTTTCAATTTAATGGACAAAAATAAAATTAAAAGATGGAAGAAAACATCAATAAATTAAAAATAAAGTGGTTTGATTAAAAAGAGAGTAACAAAAAAAAGAGGAGAGAGAGAGAGAGAGAGAGAGAGTGTGTGTGTGTGTGTGTGTGTTGAAGATTAAAAAGAAAGAGCCATGAGATGATTAGATTTTGTAAAAAAAATGAAAAAAAGAAATATGAGTTTTTGTTTTATATAAATAAGTTATCAAAACAAAACTAATAAGATGTGATGGTGCAATGGTTACTACATTGGTCTTTTATTACAAAGGTCTTGAGTTTGAATCTTGATAGTTGCATTTTACAAAACGTAAAAAAAAAAAAAAAAAAAAAAAAAAGAGGAAAATCTCGAAAACCGAAAACCGCTGATTCCATCCGGTCCGGCGGCATTTTACAAAACGTAAAAAAAAAAAAAAAAAAAAAAAAAAAGAGGAAAATCTCGAAAACCGAAAACCGCTGATTCAATCCGGTCCGGCGGTTTCCACGGTTTAACCGATTTTTGACCGATTTTCTAACCTGGTCAACTATAGCATAGAACCGGACCGGAGCTATAGCCGGTTCACGGTCCAACCGGTCGAACCGGCCGGTCCGGTCCGGTTTTCAAAACACTGGTTTAGGCATTATGCATCTCTTTTTTTTTTTGGACAAAAAAAAAATCATGCATCTCATTCGATTCTATTTTCTTATATAGTCTTGCAACAATAATTATTAAACCCGACCCTGCTTGCGGTTGAACCGGTTGGCCTAGTGATTAGAGCATCAGATCGGGTCAGATCTCTAATTTGATTGGACAAGAAATTGAGCTGGTCAAACTTGGACAAACCTGGTTGACCTAGTGGTTCAATTGAAAACTCGTCAGATTTGTCAATTAGCCCAATTTACCTTTATATATATATATATATATATATATATATATATATATAATTGTGGGTCTTTGTTATTGAAACAAAATGTATATATGCTTTTAATAAGTTTTGTACATTGGATCTTCATTTAAATAATGTATAAGACTTTACTACTTGCTCAATTTTTATTTAATAACTCACTATTTTTTTAGTAAACTTGTTTATTTTTTTATTATACAATTAGTCCTTTTAACTTTTAAATTGACAATAATTGATTATAGAAAATTACTTTGATTTTAAACAAAAAATAAAATAATGAAAAAATAATGCTATATTTTTTAAAACAAGCAATATAAATTTTGTTTTGTACTTGACTATATTATTTATTTATTTAAAAGTGTGATAAAATGAAGTTAAATCTTCTATTAATATCCATATATTTATTATATATCTTTCTAAGTATAAAATTCGTATCTAAAATCACTTTATTATATATTTTATGTATTTTAAAATTACTATTTTATATTTATAAATATTAAATTAATACTCACCGGTTGATCCAATAACCCATTGACCCAGTCCCTCTGTCGTGTTCCTTATCGGATAGGGTTTAATAACTATGCTTGCAACTCTAAATGTGTGCAACTGCACAATAGCCTATGCACAACAAATAAATTATAGCAAAATTGTGTTAAAAAAGTTTGCAATTTTTCATGACCAATAATTCATGCCGACCGTGATCATAACTTCTCATAGTGTACCCAAACTACTTTCATTCATTGTCATGATTAAGGAGATTAATACTTCATCATACAAAGAAAAGCGATGCATCATCTTAGCTATAATCATGACTTCTCTAATCCAAAACTTGGCATTGAACACTTATAGGATCCTGGATTAAATTAAGTATGAACTAAAAACACCTATATGTGCTTTTACCTGTGATATAACACGATAACGAAGTTGATTAGGAATGGATCCCCCTTCCACAGATACAGAGGCATGAGCATGGCCATGAGTAGCATCTGTATGAAGGGGAAGCCCAGAGAATTGATTCTCCCCATCACCTTCTACAGCTTCAATACCCTTGCCATTTCCAGATTTGTTTCTATAATGTGAGGTTGCATGTACGTCAACCATAAGAGCACCAATGGCTGCAAGCATTGCTACAAAGCCCGTGAAAGGAAACTTGCCCCAAGGGTTTTGAGGAAGACATGGGGAAGTCAAGCTCTCGAAAGCATCCGGGAGAACATGAATGAACCCTGTTGCCAAAATTACGCCGGCGGCAAATGCTTTGATAATGAAGAAGAAATTGTTTTCAGGGCTTAATGATGGAATTTTCTTGCCTAATACAGGAAGACAGACGCCCACTAAACTGGCCAGGAAGATTGCAGCTATGGCTCCGAACCTGTACTTGAGGGCTAAACTCCTGTTTTTATCTTCTTCTTCTGCATCGCAGGTGCAGTCTCCTAAAACTAGAGATGGAAAAGCTAGAAGAAAAAGTAACATCAGAATCTTTTCTGCATTGAGAAGAGAATTAAATCGAACAAGTTTCTTCATTCTTGAACGAAATATTAAGGATCAGGAGAATCAAGAAACTTGAGAAACTGTTGAAGAGCTTGTCTCCTTTATATAAGGCAGAAGTTAAATCATACCTACTCAAGTATGGAAAGGACAAGTGAATAAAAAACAAAAATGGACCATCCAATAGTCAAAAGCTGAAAGAGATTCTTAAGCTTGCTTTTGCACTTAGTTCGGTTCAGGATCCACCAGAACAATAAAGAATGTTTTTGTCGTTATTATATATAGAGGTTGAGCAGGACTAGGTATGCAAATTTCTATGCAGCAGGATGAAACTATGAATGCATTTTGGTGTTCGGTCATTATTTATTCAATTGAATATGAAAAGTGAAGACATGATGAGGCCATGATTCAAAAATAATTCAAAGAAGAAAAGAAGGAAGTAATGTACGGCTAAATCAGAATGGAACATTGTTAATTTCGGAGGGATTGCTAAATGAATATAGATCAATGTAAAGTGCATGTCGACATTATTGCATAGGAAACAAAGGTCAACTAGCTCATAATGTGATTGTCATTTTTATTGACGCAGAGCAAACTGATGGGGCTGGTACAGTTGTAAGCTCTCACGTCGTATCTTTTATTTCTTATTATGTGATTCAGTGTACATTAAATAAGTTGATTTTGTTTGTGTACACTAACTTAAAAAAAAGAACTTTAGAAAATAATTTGTTATGTAATACATCAAATTTCTTTGACAAATATAAAAATGGAAAACACCATAATTTCTGAGTGCGATTTGAACTATTAATTTACGTAATTGAAAGTAATTAATTAGGTTTACGATGAAACCTAGAAATTGATTACCGATCCAATTTGAATATAACAAAATGATACAATAGTACTAACCCCAAGTCTGTGACGTGGTAGGTTTAAGTTGAAAGTCATGAGTAATCTACACATATACCTTCTCTTTAATTCATTTGTCATTAATGTACAATTTGTAGGACTAATTCGACTTTAATGTTGAATGGAACCTATGCTAAATCTACCAGCCTAACTGAATCTCTATTGAATCCCCCTTGACTTTATCAAACAAATTGCTGGACTATTTCCAACTAGCTCATTAATAACATTCGCTTTGTGCTTTTTATATATATTAAAAATATATATCCAACTATCTATTATCAAGAAAAAATGAATAAGATAAATAATATACTTTATACTACTGGCTTCTTACCCACCCCTCTTCTACTCTTATAAGGAAAACAACTAGAAGGGTTGACTTGATGCCCAATGAGGTTCCAAGTGAACCCATCCATCGCAAAATAATCATAGCAGTCACAAATCAATCACGAAGCATGATATATATATATATTAATTAGCAATCTAAAACAAGAAATACGTTCAATGTGAACGGATATGGTACTGATACAGGTTGTAGAGTTGTCTCCCGTCCATTTCTAGATGTAGCACATTCTCCTGTTTAGTGATTCAATGTCATTTTGCCAATTAAACAATAACCAACATTCTTCTTTCTTCCAATGTTCGGTGATCATTTCAGTAGGTCATACTTGAGTATACCAATAAACGATACCCAAGGACCATCGGCCTACTCGACCAAACCCGTTTCTGGCTCGAATAGGCCGACTGTCATTGGGGTTTGGGCCCAAAATGGTTATGCACAGTTAACAGTAGTAGTTAAACAATTAATGGTTCCAAAAGTAAATAGGTCGAGTGCGATAAAGTATATACTCGCCTTTAATCAGTGAATAATAATAGCAATTTAAGTTGAAAACTCAAACAATTACACTTAGCAATCCATCAGTTCACCAAGCAACAGGCCACAACCATACTTTAATATTTAATCATGAATACATACAAGGAACACTCACAAAATCAAGTGGACAGTCATGCCTTGGTTTCAAGGTTTTCTTCTAGCTCACCACTAACTTCTGAGACATGTCCAAGCTACAATTACTCGACCTTTCGACAAAACCAACTTTTTTTCAAAACTACTAAATTATCATAGTCAAAATAAGTGAAATAACACATAAACTCTAGTTCTAAAAGGGTTATCAAACATGGAGGTTAAAAGGTATAGAGTTTTTGCAACCAAATTCTTGAAAATAAGGTCGGAAAGCTTGTCCTCACTCTCGGTTTCTTTTGACAGAATTTTGTCATCAAGATTACTTCAAATTTTCTCCTGATTAGAACATTAAGAGTTCAATAAACCAATATGTGCAAGTTTGCAACCAATATTTTAGTGTTAAATCTGGAAAGAAAATGGTGATTATGGTGACTCTCGGGCTCCAAGCAGAAACTCTTACCACTCCAATTCCCTTATAACTTTTGGGATTTAGCACTCCAAAATTTGACAATAACTTTTAACAAAGTATCTCACATGAATGTATAGTAAAATAGCAACAATTTTTCGAATTATGGGATGAAGTTTAGCCATGGTTCAAGCCTGGAAGTTTCCTCCAAAACAGGTTACATGCAAGGAGATTTCTAACCCAAAACTCAACTTTTGTTTCATGATTCAAGCATAAATCATGCAATATATCATAAAGTGACTTTAAGGCATGAATCTCTTTGAAAAACTTCAATAAAATAGAAGCTACAAGCTGGAAATTACAGCTCATAGCCCACGGTTCAGGTAAGAAAATTTTCAGCAAGTCTTTCCTCACTTTTGTCATCAAACAGCACCCGTTTTACTCACTTTCAACCATAAGTCACACAATAATATGCTTATAACATAAAGTGAGGTATTATTCAAGCATTTTTCAGCAAAACTCAACCAAAGTTGCAAATAAGAGCTGAAATTTCTCAGCTCACTCTCTCAGCTCCCTCCTGAAATTTCAGCAACAAAAACTCTCATGCATGCCATATTTCCATCAAGATTCATCTATTAAAAAGGGTTAAATGATTTTCTAGCAAACTTGCAACAAAATGAACCAAAAACTGAAAGGAAACAGCCTTTACTATATCGGTTCAAGCTGGAAAATTTCCAGGAAGAAACAATTTATCAAATGAACTTTTCCTTCAACGAAACTTTTATTTTCTTTACTCAAACCCAACATGCATGTGAAGATTAATGAGTTATAAGGTATATAGGACAAAATCTGAAATTTTGCAGCCAAAAGTTCATGGAGAAAACTGAAAAAGTCCACTCGCCCTCACTCGGCCAGTTAAAACAATTTCTAGTAAGTTCCTTTAAATTTTTCCCAGCCAAGTTATCAACTTTCCACTAGGTTCATAGCTAAACATACTATATATATCACACAAAGCAAGAAATAAGACATATTTCATACATTTCTAGTAAAAGTTCCCCCAAAAATTTGAATTAAAAGCTGTGGGGCAAAACCATCCATCACATGCTTAAAAACTAAAATTTCCAGCAAGATCTACTGCTTGTTTCTACCTATTTTCATCTTCAAATCATGCATGCAATCAAATCTTTCTGTGGTATATAGAATGGTCAAAGTTTCTAGCCATGTTACCTTATTTTCTACTACCAAACAAACTGGAAGCTAGCTCACCTTGCTGATCTCTCCTCGGTTCAAACAAGCTGGAAATGGAGACAAGACTCACATTTTCTTTCAGCTCTCTCTCTCTCTCTCTCTCAAGTTTCTCACGGCTAGAGTGGAGGCAAACAAGAGATTTTCTCAGCTCTCCCTCAAGTTCTCTCCACTGGAAATGAAGCAAGACAAGGAAATAATTCTCTCAACTCTCTCTCAAGTGCTCTCGGCTGGAATGGAGGATGACAAGAGAAAAAAAAATTCTGGTCAAAAGTGTTGTTGGTTATGCAAGACAACCTGCACTTGGCACTCCCCTTTTTACCACTTGTCAATCATGCATAAGTCAATAACTAATCTAGCAATCACCCCACACTTTTATGTTATTATGTTGTGTATTAAATTCTTATTCTAATTAGTGTTAATTTTTATAAGGGTTGATCCTACACTTAGTTAGGGTATATTCAAGTTGTTTAAACACTAGAAACAAATAAACACATAAATTAAATAATAACAAGCAATCGTAACACATTCAATTCTAGATAAAACATAAGTTGCATGATTAATTTCGGACTCTCACACACAACTTGTACTATTTTTGGTAAAAATATTAGAATGATTGCCAATGTATCAATGATTTCAAATCACTTACTTCCACTGAATTTGAGTATTTTCAATTTTTTTCTGTTTGAGTATAGTGATGGGTGATAGTAATTGGTTGTGGCATATGTGATTTGGTCATTTCAATTTTGACAGTTTGAGATTTTTGGCCAATAGAAGAATGGTTGGTGAGTTGCCTAGTATACAAATTCTGATAGAGTCTGTGATTTGTGCATTTTGGAAAAACAACACAAGGATGCTTTTCAAACTAGAAAATCATGGAGGACAAAAAGACCATTGAAAATTATTCATTCAGACTTGTGCATTGTGGAGGTCCCTTCTAATGGTGGTTGCAGGTATTTTATTACTTTTATTGATAACTTTAATGGAAAAGTCGGAATGCATTTTTTGAAGCAGAAATCTAATGCCAGTGACACTTTTAAAAATTTTAAAACTTTTGTTGAGAGGCAAAGTAGCTATCATATTAAAATCTTGAGAATAGATAGGGGTCAGGAATATTTCGTTTATGATACTTTTCTTGAAAAAATTGGAACACAGCATCAGTTGATTACTAGGTACACTCCACAACAAAATGGACTGACAGAGAGGAAGACTAGGACAATTATGGATACGATGAGGTGTATGTTAAAGTTGTAAAATATGTCAAAGTCTTTTTGGATAGAGGCAGTTTCTTGTGCAATTTATTTGTTGAACAGGTGTCCTACTAGAAGTATTCTCGAAAAAACTTTTGAAAAGTTTGAAGTAGTAGGAGATCATTTGTTGGCCATCTTAGAGTTTTTAGGTGTATTGCCTATTCTCATATTTCTGACCAATTAAGGAAGAAACTTGATGAAAAGAGGGAGAAGTGTGATGTAAATGCGAGTTCATGTTCGAACCATCAAATCTAAAAGTGTCGAAGTG